GTATTATACATGAGATCGTATTATACATGAATAAATACGGTAAATGTCTACGTTAAAACCATAAATATATTTATAAAATGGCTAAAGAGACGTTTCAGCTAAATTGAAGTTTAGCTGCTTTTATTAGATGGTTAAAACCTACAATGTGGCCCGTTTATGATATTAATAGTTTGTTAACGAGATCTGAGTGAAACTTCAGAACCCATCACTGAAACAGTTCTGTGCACGTGGCAGCACTGTGCACTCAGAGTTCATTTCAAATGAAGCCCACTAATTATCACTTCCAGTTTCTTCAGGGTCAAAAGCTTCTCCTGACTCCTGGGTTAGAAGGTCCCCGCAGGAAAAGGCAGCGTTTGATTTAAGAAAGCTGCAGTGAATGAGCCAGGGTGGGCTCAGAACCACTCGCTGTCACTCCTGCAATCTGCTCTCTGTGTTTCTGAAACTCAGCTCAAACCGGCCAACAGATGGGAGTCCTGACATCAGAACAGTGAAGGGAAACATCAGAGAATGTAAAAAAAAACACTCGGGGGATTTCACATCAGCAGTCACCAGACAGCTAAATTCATCTTTAGAGATAAAACTGTAGATGCTCCACTGTTTCCCACTGAATCATGTCCCTTTTGTGCTAATTGCAGGAAAAATACTGAGAAAGGAATAACCTCCCTGTATAATTTTCCTCTCTGAGCTTCTACAACAATAATTATGCAGCTGAAAGTGACTCACCCTGATGGAATCTAGACGTAAAGCTGATAAATGGCCTTAAACCACACTGTAAAACTGATTCTGATTCTTTTCATCTTGATATGAAGAATGTGCTGGAGTCAGAGTGCAGCTGTGTGTAACTGGATTTAAAAAACAGATTGAAACAGAGGCAGATAGAAGTCATCTTTACAGCTTCCATCAGAATGAAGAGGTTAATGCTGTTCATGAAGACATCATCTGCAGGGTTAAACACTCCTGTGCTGAGGTTGCACTGCGTAGAGGCACGTCCCCCAGGTGGTGGATTGGGGGTCCCTGTTCCTGGTGTATAGGGGTGTGTCCAAATAAGCTGAAAGGCGAATAGGGTACCGCGAGCCAAAAGCAGCCGGGCAGGTGTGTGTAAATATATGCACACTTTCAACGCAACGTTGGTTTTACTACATCACAACGTGGGCGTAGAACCTGGCGCACACAACTTTTTTATACGTACGTACCGTTTATACCTGAGAGGCCAGGTGTCCCACCGGTCCAGTCAAAAACAAAGTTCTGAGTTTTCTTTAAATGTTGGGTGTAAGTGAGTTTGTTCATTACTAAACGATTTCCTGTTTACCTTCACTTCATGTTTTCTTATTTTTTACACTTTTCATCATAACTTCCTTCTTGTTCTTTGTCTCTCTGCTTGCTGCACCTGTGATTTACAGTCCTGCGTGCTTTTCTAAGTCTACCTGTTTGTGTTTTTACTGCAGGAAGTTGGCCAAAAAGCAGAAGGAAACAGCCAGCAGCTCCACTCAGCAGAGGGAGATGGGTCCGGTCACCACGGCCGATAAGAGCACCACCAAAGTCAGCACCCTGCACAAAGACGACCCGTTCTCCACCTCCAACCAGGAGCTGAATGGCTTCAGTACGTAAAACACGATTTTATTTCCTCCACACGTTTAAATTTCCTTTGATCTTGTTTTAACGTGTGGATATTTAATTAGTAATATTGTAGGAGGGGTCATCAACATTGGAGCTGTTTGTTCTTCACTACTTTTTTATTTTTTAACACCTTATGCTTGTGCAAGTCCAGCACATTTGCATGTTCTACCTTTAGTTGTGATCACAGGAAAGTTGGCCTTCACGTGTGAAGACATATTCCCTTTTTATTTATTTTTTAAACTACATGTATGTGTGTGTCTGGTGTAATTAGGCAGTTGCTTTCAAAAGGGCATTTTTCTCTTGAAAATGTCACGCTGGCCTTTTGGGAGAGCTTGGCTGCAGAGAGCCACGGGTCGGAGCTAATGCTGGTCATAATTGCTTGCACTCTTCCTCTGACGGTCCGCGGTGATGACAATAATGTTCCTGCGTTGGAAACACTAAGAGCAGACCCATCTGGACGTTAATCACCTGCGTCGTAAAGCTGTGATATTTTAAACAGCTCAGAGTGCTCGTTCAGGTCAAGTTTTTTATTTTTTTTTTAGAGCTGTGCTTGAACAGGTTGAAAAGTTTAAATGCTGCACTTTTTGATGGACAGGTTTGATTTTAGCAGCTTTATTGTTAGGAGCGTGAGCTTTTATAGCTAAGTTTTCCCTGTATTGCTATGTGATCCATTGCTGTCACCTTTCCTCCTCATCAAGAGAAAAATGGAGAAAAACTAACTATTATACCTGTTGGTTAGTGGACACAACAGCACACAACAGAACTCACATTTTATACCAGTGACTTTTTCACTGGTACTAGGAGCTAACTCTAAAAACAACAGGCAGTAGGCAGGAATTTTAACAGAAATACGTCATTAATGGTCATGGCATGTAGGCTATTTAAAGCAGTCAGCTTTATAGTTTTATGCTTTTCTAAAAGCAGAGGTCCTGGATGCAGCATGTGTTCTGGAGCCAGATCCATCAGTCCCAGTCTGAGTACTTTAGTACAAGCTCACAGGTTAGGACCAAGAAGAACTAAGTATAGCTGAAATGTCATTATTTCCTAAATTTCTACAATCATTTTATCATTCAGGACAAAAAAAATCTATTTTTGTGGTTTTGCATTTGATTTGTTTGGTTTTTGAGGTTAGAAGATGGTCCAGGTATGATGATGTAGTGCACCATGTTTGTACAGACCTGTAGACAAGACTTACACACACACACACACACACACACACACTGAGTTTATTCCCAGTCACAGATTCCGGCTCACTCCTAATGAGGCAGAAAACGCTGACACAAGGCAGGGGACCCAATAATATTTACGTGCATCGACCCTCACAGGACAAATAACCTTTTGTGTTATTGCATTCTCACCCAGTCACCAGCTATCTCCACAGGACTTTGCTGTCAAAGCAGATTTCTCTTGGTATGCAGGTACAAGCCTCACTGCATTAAAGCTGAGCTATTTTTTTGGGGTGGGGGGGGCATTAGCATACATAACCTGTTTGCATAAAACGAGAGGGATTTTATCTCAGAGGAGAGAATCTGTTGTTTGTGGGCATTAGATGAAGGAGAGAGCAGATAAAGGAATGAGAGAAGTAATGGAGGAAAGAGGACAATGGGGAGAGGAAAAGATAAAACTTAAATTATCTACAGCAGGAAAATGGTACCATTAAAAAGTACAGCAAACAGAATGTAAATCAGGGAACAGTGCAGTGACGTGGATCATTTTCATAAAACACATTATTACCTTTCATTTGTAGACATTAGTGGAATTTTAAACAAGGGATAATATCTGTATTAAACTACTGCCACTTGTTTCTGCAGTCCTTTAAAAAAACACAAATCCCAAACTGTATTGTAAAAATAACATCCCCTAAAGTCCCACATTCTTCTCAGGTCAAGAGTCAGTGAGCTCTTTTACTTACCTTAAAATGTCATCATGGTTTATGATTCCACTTTTTATCCTCTGTTTTCTCTCAGAGAGAGAGATCTGTTAGAAGTAATCATTCTTGCTGCTAGTTTATCAAATATCATGCTCTCGACCCAAGCATCGGCACCAGGAGAGATGTTATTGTCTGTTTGGATAACATTCTGTATAAATGTGTGTATTTGAGACTGTCTCATTACACACATTTTGTACCAATGCCCTGTGTGACGTGATGTGTGTCTGCAATTGCAATAAATCCTAATGACCATTAGCATCGTACTTTTTATTCTTGGATCACGTGTTTCTGTTTTGGGTTAAATAAAGAATTCCACGACAATTTGGCATCACGAACAGGATCCACGGGCCGAGACCAGAAGATCTCCCTCTGATGAGCCTCAGGACTAAACATGTTTTGAGTGAATGAGGAGCTGATGGTCTGGACTCGGACCGTGACTCCACACTGGATAAAAGAACCTTTGTTCTAACAGAAACACGTGATCCAAGAATAAAAAGTGCTCCGTGAATGGTCATCGGGATTTATTGCAACTTTTTATTCTTACATCACGTGTTTCTGTTTTGGTTAAATAAAGAATTCCACAACACAAACCATCTTTCATGCTTTTTAAAAATCATGCAACCAAACCTATTTGATTACAGTCCTGACTTTCTACGCAGCGTGGCATGGAGTTGGTCAAATCCAAACTTAAGCCAGAAACTCTCAGTAGCTGTGTTTCCATTGATCATGAAATTGCGCAAATTAGAATTTTGAAAAAGAATTAGCTCAATGGAAACACGTCAATTTAAAAAAATATATGTTTTTCGACAAAATGTTTTTGCGCTAGGTTGAGGTGGTATTTCAGCCGTATCGAAATTGGTGTTTTTTGCAAAACTGCAATGAAAACACTTTTTTCACATCACAGGAGTCACGTGATCAACAACCGGCTGTTTCTACTGGTGAAAAAGATGAAGACGAAGACAACAGGAAGTAGAAGTAGTAGTAATATCACAGAAGTAGTATAAAATTGTAAACTCACCGACTACATTTTCCCAAAAACACAGCATACGTAGCCGCTCCCAAGTAGGGACTTGTCTCTGGAAAGCCTCGATAAAAGACGCCGACGTCTCCTCTGATGATGAGCGCTAGTGTCGTGGTAGCAACATGCTATGTGTTTACATCCATCGCCGCCATGTTTGTAATGACTTATCATGAGAACAAACGTATTCACGTGACTTTAATAGCATTTCTTACTTAATGGAAACACCGCATTTGCGAAACTATGTTTTTTTTTTTTACATTAACAGAATATCGACAAAGTTTTGCACACATTTGCAGTGGACTGAGCCGTGCAAACAGAATGACTGAAAAAGAAAAAGAGCGAAGGCAGAGCTGAGGGTGACGGTGGAGACAAGAGACTCAATGGGACAACAAAGATGAGACAAACTCCCGTCTGTCCACTGAGTGTCACAGGAGCTGGAGAGGACGCTTTTTCCCTCTAATCACTGTCCTAAAGTAGAGAAAACATTAGGAGCAGAAGCCTTCAGCAGGTCTGTGTGATCTCTGAGTCTCTGCAGGGATCATTCAGGCTCAGCTACCATACGATACATCTCAGTCAGTCCCCTCGGCTCTTATCTGAACCTGTATGTGCCTGTGTCTATCCTGCACATCATTTATTTATGGGGCCTTCAAGTCTCTGGGTTTATATATATGAAAGACAGTGGATGTGCTAAAACAAGTTAGCCATCCATCAGAGCTAAAGACAAAAAGCTCTGATGATGAATCGCAGTGATAAATCTGCTAAACACTTCCCCGTTTTATTCTGCTGACCTCATTCCCACAGAGGCCAATTTGAACTTATCCAGCTGTTATTAAGTCAAGAAAGTTAGTTTGGCTTTTAGCAGAAAGTGCATCATAATGACTTTTCACAAACCTCAACCTGATTACAAGTGTTACTGAAAATAAATCCCTTTCTTTTTTTTCTGAAAACATTTTTAGATGACTGAAACACACAACTTTTTATAGTGATGATGTAAAGTTGGGTTGTGTGGAGTAATTATGAACAGTCAGTATCTTTTCTTAACACAGAAACATATAGTGTCAGCAAAATACTTTAAAGGTATTCTGGGCAACCCAACTGATTTAAAGAAGATATGTCCTGCAAAATCCACTTTTTGTCTGCAGAAAATTATAATTTAGACTCTCCTGGTGCTGCTTAGATATCTTTAGATTCTGTTTGGGTCAGATTTTTCAACCCGTTCAGTTTTCTTGTATGTTTTGATGTTTTCTGAACTATTACGACAAATTATTTGTGACAGAACTGCCAGGTATGGTCTAGACTTACCAACAACTTGGTGGTCTTCATCCTCTGGTTCTGGGTCAGACTCTGGCTCCAACATATAAGGCTGGATGGACAAGTCGTCGCTTGTTGACATATTTAAATTAATTCGTAATTAAACCGTTTCTGTGCAGCTATATACTGTAGTCCTAAACCCCTCTATCAAACTGGAATGAACCAGTCTGGGGGGAGGGGTGAAGTGCCTCATTTAGATTCAAAGAGACAGCTTCAAAACAAGTTGATCTGAGACACACCCCCAAAAAGGGGCGTGGCTTGTGGAGTTACAGTATGCAAGAATGCAGACCAAAGCGTGGCAGTTCCACTTTCTATAGACCCAAATGAAACATTAAAATGTGAATTTAAGGATCATATCTCCTTTTCTGCCTGGTTGGGGCTTTTGCCACCTGACTGTTACACTTCTGCACGTCTTTCATAACATGAGTCATGTCATTGACCTTCTTGGGTGGACAATGTCTTTTTGGTGGTTTTCAGTAATGTGCAGCACTTTATTATCAGTTTGTTTCTTTAGGCTGTTGTTGGAACTTTGTTTGAAACCTCTGACCTTATATCTCACCTTATATTGTTGTTGAGAGTTGAAGCTGTTTATGTTTTGCAACCAGAGTCTGCACACCTGGGATGAGGGTCTTTAGGTCCCACCTGCTCCCCTCTGTACACAACCATGATGTCACATAAGCTTTAGACATCAATTAACTAATAACATTCAAACTTTGCAGCCAATCAGCTGAAGATCTCTGAGGACTTTCAAAGCTCCTCTAGAAACCAGGGTTATCTTTTTTTTAAATCGTTGGTGGTTATATTAACCAATAAATCCTTATTTCTATGTTTCCCTTCCAGTAGCCCCCACCCTGTTGAATGTATTGACCCAGACTGAGACCACTAAGTGCATGCTCATTGGCCTCTGACCACTGTTGTTTCATAATTGGATGGTGTTTGTGATGATGGCTCCATTAGTGTTATTGGATTGTTCTGGTAACAATTGATCTGCCTTCAGCTCATATTGTTTGTTGTGTTCTGGGATAAATGTTGGGTTTTAGGTGCGATCACCAGCCTAACTCTGGTTTCTGACTCTTCTTCACCTCCTTCATTCTGTTTTTTTTTATTTGTCTTACCTTTTTCTTTTCTTCCTTTGTTTTCTCCCACTGTTTTTTGCAGCCTCCCCCTCCCCCTGCTCCTTTTCCATGCAGGGAAGCAAGACGCTGCAGAGCAAATCCCTGCTGAATTCCTACTACTCAGGTAAATAAAGACACCTTCTGCTCTGTATAAAGTACTGTTTGGTAGTACATTAATAAACAAATACGTGTTTTCTTTCCACAGTGTCCAAAGAGCCAGTTCCAGCCACAACTTCTATAGGTAAAAAAAACATTAACTTGTTTATTTTATCCATTTATGTTTGTCTTTTTAAGGAAAAGCCCAACAGATCCAGCTGTTTTCCTTTTATTTACACATCTTCCTCTTTGTGTGTCTTTATTGACGTCTGGAAGATCCACAAACAGTTTTAACAATAAAAACCAGATTTTAACCACAGAAACACAGAAAAACAAACAACAAATCCAGAGTTTGCACACAGAGCAGAAATTAAACATCACTACTGTTTTCCAGCACAGCCTTTGTGTGTCTTTCTGTTCCGTTGGTCCCTCTGTCCCCTTCTGTTGGCCAGATTGAGCTGCTTCTTGCCAGGAAACTTGGCTCTGGCCTCCGCCTGTGTGTGTCTGTGTGTGTGTGCTTTGCACAAGAATGCCACTTTGCACAGTTTCACAGAAACACAAGCAGGAGTTCATGTTCCAAGCACAGAGTCATTTGTCTGCTGCTTGTTTCGTGTGATTTGAACTCTCTGACGGCTCATCAGCCTCATTTCTGCCTCTTTTTCTCCACTTCTCGTTTTGTCATTTTGAGCTGTTTGTGCCAAAACATAAGATGAGTTTAATCTGAAATCCAACAGGTGATTTATAAACATCATTTATTTGGTTGTTTCTCAGAAAACAACTAAACATTTAGTCAGTGGAGGGCAGCGCTAATTCAAAATTTAGTTGCGCAGTTTCTAAAGCACTATTAGCTCCACAAGTTCAAAAGCACATACGCTCAACAAAACTTAGTGGAAGCTAAACATCAAGCACAAGATGACCTCCGATTACCAGAAAACGTTCCAGTTTAACCATGAAACATGTCAGCACTTTATTACCAACTAGTAGAACACTAATTTCCATTCACAGATTGGCACATGTTGCAGTGTGGGGAGGTGATTTGTTGAAACAGACTTTTGAATCATGTTGTAAAAAAATAGTTGTGGATTGTTAGTTCTGCTGCTTATTGGTCATTTTCTTATGTTTATGGCAGGGCTTCTGTAAGAAAACATACAGATATATTAGTAATTTTAAACTGTTTATTGTAAAACTGAAGCGATGCAGTCTGGGTAGTCTACAGGATGAACAGGAACTCTTGTTCATTTCAAAATAAGAGTGTGAATTTAAACTTTTCTGTGTTTCTTTATTATTAGTGGTTGATGACATTTTAATGAATTATATGTCTACATAACGTAGTGGATATAGACGGCTCTCTATCTTTACTTTAGACAAATTTGATGATCAAATTTGAAACCTTATTTGGGATTAGCGCTACTCAATTCTAAATTTAGAAAGCACAAATCCCAAATTCCTTTTTCCTCTCCAAGACCCA